TGTGTGTTTTTGTTTTATGTTGTTGTGTTGTTTTGCTTTGGCCACATGTTAAGGGAAGTGGGATTCTGAGTTGCTGTCTGTATCCACTGTTTTGGCTTTAAATTAATCTCCATATTGTAAGCCACAAAGAGCCCCATGTGGTGGGAAGCGGACTATAAATTCAAGTGATCCGTCATTTATATGTGACATACTTGCTTCCGGTAACTCATTTTCTATTTAAAGAGGGGGGGGGGAAGCCATGTGGTCCTTCTATACAATCCAAAAACAAGGATGGCTGATACCTTCCCAAGTCCACTAAAATCTCACAAACAGGGTCTGGCTTCCTAGTCCTGCAGAACCCTTCACCAGGGCTGGGCATTACAAAGCTGTTTCTGCATACACACATCAGCTCAACCTGATGAAAGTAATGTATTGCCCATCCTTGTTTCAACCTTCTGATTGTTATTCATTCTGATTCTTCAGAATTCTTCTGATTCTTCTACAACAAACCTTTGGGACACATTGCAAGTGTATTGTTTAGTGGAGACACTGCTTGTTGCTGAGGCCAATTGGAAAATGGATCTTGCACTGACAGGATGAGGCTAAACTTGCACATGCTAGGTATCTTCATTTGCATACACTGTTCTCGGTGTCAAGCCACTGATGGGACATACTGGCTTGAATTAAAAGATATTCTGTGTCAAAAGAAGTATTTCCGTTCTCTGCCTATAGCTTTAGTGTTCAAATTTAACTAGTCTCCAAACCACAGTGACTCAACAGCAATGGATAATTATTCAGTTTAACCCTGCTTGAAACACTTCCTTTGAAAATTAATCTTTAAGGCTGCTGCAAACTAGAGAGATCTGGACACTGATAGCAATAGAAACATTTAGCAGTGTGAGCCTTCATTGGCTTTTAGTCTACTTCATGGATGCCCTGGTATGAAGTAAGATGGGGTAGCTTTCTGGGTTTGGGCCACTGCGATTGTCAAGGAGGAGACAAACACAGAGCTGACAGATAAAATGTATCCCAACTGCAAGATTCCCATTGAAACACGAATGTTGTGAAAAACACAGTAGAACTTCCTGATGGAGCAGCAGAAGTCACCACTGGACAGGGACAATCTTTGAACCCCTCCCAGGTGATGGTACATAGGGTGTTCTGACATTAAACAGTTGCCTCGAACTTAGGCCAGTCCTGGGGATGGCTTAGCTAACCCATCACCTGGGTACCAGACCACCTGGGGCATCAAACTACGCTAAGTATAAGTGTCTTTATTAAAAGTGCAAAATATTTGTATGACATTATCTATCCAAGGCCCTGTGAGTCACCTGGGTGGCATTGCTAATCTAATCACAGAGAGACACACTGAAGGAGAACATCATGCAGGGCACTATCTATCCTAAGGGCAACCCTGCCTCTCATACTAGCTGTGGCAAAGGACTTAAGTGACACAGCCTCCTGTTATTCATCCTTGAAAACAACAGAGGTGAGGTGGTATAACGGCATGTGTTTACTATTATTAAAGAAATAGCATTAATACAGTAACATGCAAAAAGAAACAGGACAAATACAAAATTTAGCCCATGGTATCATCTATGTGTTTGTGCTCTGTCAGAATTGACTTAAAGAAACCCTAATAGGGCTTTCGAGATAAATGAGATACTTAAGGAGTGGTTTTATCTGTTCCACTCCCCCAGTGAGCTTCCCTGACTGAGCAGTGATTCGAAGCCTGTTCTCCAGAGTCCTAGTCCATCATTCTATCCACTACACCGCATTGGGAATCTCTGTATAGGGGATCCCATGTTCTATAAACTAAGTTCTGTGATCTAACTCCTTTGAATGAATACTTGGCTCACTGCAACTGGCCAAAATCAATCTAGTCTAGCATTTTGTTCCCATAGTGAGACAGGTCATGATGCTCTTGGCAAGCTAGCAAGCAAAACTTGAAAGTAATGGCTGTTCCATGTTGTTTGTCCACAGACTCTGACAATCATCACTGTCTTTATGTGGAAACACCATTCCACAGTCCCAGGTTCAAATCTCCACTCACCTTTGAAGGCTACAAAGTGTGCAACAGACCTCAGCCGAGTAATTATTTCTCATCCTGACCATGCCTTACAGGTATGTTATGAGGAGACTACAGTGGGGTCTTGACTTAAGAACGGCTCGAGTTAAGAACATTTTGACTTAAGAACCACTCTCATAGGAAAATATTGACTTGACTTACATACTTAGATTTGAGTTAGGAACTGAAGAAACCCCACGTGGGAGGCAGGGAAAGTGCAAAATTTGAACTTTCAGTTAACTGTTGGCCGGTGAAAAGGGTGCCTGTCTGCTTCCTCACTCCTCCCAGCATTTCGAGAGTGGATTGGGAGACAGTCTTCGGACTGCCTGGTACTGCCTGGACTGTATTTTCCCTGCCTTCCCTGAACCTTTCTTGACCTAAGAAAAAAAGAAACAAAATATCCCCCTCTAGTGGTCGAAGGCAGAATAGCAGCTTCCCATTAGTTTCTATGGACGGGAAAGAGCAGATACGGATCAAATGGTTTTCAATGCATTCCTATGGGAAATGCAGATTTGACCTGAGAACTTTTTGACTTGAGAACCGCCTTCCAATACGGATTAAGTTCTCAAGTCAAGACCCCACTGTACTCTTACTTTTCTGTATGTCATGAACGCTACTCAAGGGCAGATTATATAATGGTTTCCAATGCATGAAAAGTATATCTCAGATCAGCATAAACAAATCACAAACAGCTTCCAATCATACACCACTCCAAGTAACATTTCATCTTTTTGGGCCAAGGCCTAAAGCCTTCTTGTAGTCATTGAGCCCAGCTTTACTATGCAGAAATTATCATGTGCTGTCAAGTAAATTTCAGCTTTCCAAGGTCTTCCGGGTAAAGAATACTCAGAAGTGTTTTACCATTCCCTTCTTCTGGGGGAATCCTGGGACTGAGCAGCTTGCCTGAGGCCACATAGGCTGGCCCTACTTGGAGGAGGCACAGCAGGGAACTGAACTCCCAACCTCTGGCTCCACTACCAGATACCTAAACCAACGAGCTATACAGCCAGGTATTATGCAGAAAACAAACAAACAAACAAAAACAAATTAAAAACAACAATCGTGAAACTATCAAAGATGAGAATAGACCAGAAGTGCCTATCACTATGCTATGGAACAGTTTGAAGGCTGTAATACAGGGTGTATGTATTGCTCAATCTTGCCACTCAAAAAGAGTATCACAAGCTACTAGAAATTGACTTTTTCTTGAAATAAAATCTCTGAAAAGTCTACATAAAAGGGATGGAAAATCTGAACAGTTGCAAGAATTTGCTTATAAAGGTCTGAGTTTCAAACATTAGAGATAAACAGAACATCAAAAATGGCAATAACCAGAATACTAATGCAATTTTTTTTAAAAAAAACCCTCTGCTTTATGAGTATGTGCTGTCGTGCTTCTGTACCCACAACTAAAAAAACTAGCAAACACCCAGTATTGCTGCACAATATTGTGACCACATTGCCAGCAGGAAAAAGGATGCCAAGGGTGGCCTGAATGTTGAGAACATCAATGGCAGCAAGTCAAGATGGTCTACAAGAAACCCTCTTCTGCTCACTACCATTCACAAAGGGACACCACGCAAGGGAAAATTGGAGAAGCTGACTCCTTTTTTCATCAATTAACCACTTCTCACTAAAACACAAAGCAACTGTCAGAGTAGTTTTTAAAAGTGGCTTTGTAATGCAGATATACTTTGAATATGCCTTACAAAACTGTATATTAATTCCCTGGAGATGCAAGGTAAAATATACCCCTTTTTGGAGCACTGTTACTCCTTAATTTTTTTAAAAACAAGCTTGTTTATTTGACTCTTCAGGAAAAAACTGCACTTTGACTCTGTTTCTGGAACCTTTAATTGCCATAAGCTATCTAAGTATCTCCCTGTCCATGAAGCTGCAAAAATGTATCTGCTTTGCTAAGTTCTTACTGTCAAAACCAGGCATACTCAGTGTGATAAGACATCATTGTTCATCTCTTTTGGGAGGCCTTTTTCAAGAACCAATATTTCAACCCCTACAACCTGGATTTGTTGTAAATAAAAGAAATCCAGAGGCAGCCATTCTTTTTCAAGTTAAGCAAGATTGGTCTTTTCAATGTATGTGATATATTTTAAATCTGGGGATATTTAGGGTCACCTATTTCTGAATGGGGGGGGGAAGTATAAAATAGTTTCACTTTTTAAAAACTCATAACTCAAAAAACGTTTGCCCAAACTTCCCCAAATTTGGGGCCAAGCTAGAACAGACTGTGCCAAACTTGGTACTGATCTAAAGTCCAGTAAATTTTTTTGCTTTGACCTGTCCCCATTTTAGAATTGCCTTACAGAATCTTGATTTGCTCTGCCAGCACATGATCCTTTCTGCACTCTTATGCAACAATAATATTATAATGTTCATTATATGATAAAACATTGAGAGGTTCCTTTTGAGATAAGCTTTCATTGCTGATCAGTGCTGTAAATTGTTCTGCCCACTTTTCTTTTATATAACTGTTAAAAGAGTGGGCCTGCTCTATTATCATTGGGCTTCCCCCATTTGTTTTCTAATTCAAAACTGACTGCAATAAGCTTTTACCTCCTCCTCTTCCATGTCCTCATGTACGGCTGCCACCTTCAGTAATGCTATAGTGGAGCCAGAGCTTGCAGGGTCAAAGCTCCAGAACCGTTAACATAGCAACGACTGTGACATTACTATGACATCGTATCAATCACAACACTTCACGTCTACCTGCTCCCTCTGAGCCTAGGAGCTCAGAGCTCAGAGCTGGTAAAGAAATGTGGTTTTTCCCCCCCTGGAGCAATAAATACACTGTTGCCAACTGTTCTTCTCCGAATGCAAAATGTTGGTGATCGGCCTTGAATGAGCAATTAAGAGCTCTCAGCTTGACAAAAGACCTGCTCTTTGTGTCTTGCTCTGGCTCGATTCCCCTGCCAGTAGTAGTTCTGGGGGCTTTTCTGTGTTGAGGCGGTTTGCTCTAGGGACTGTCAGAATGCGCGAGCAGCTACACACTCTTGGCCGGCTACACCCCTGCCTTCGAGGAATTAAGGTCTTCAAGGCGGTTGACAGGCTTGCCTCCATCGGAGAAAGCGGGGAAATTAAAAAGCGGCTCAAGTTCGTTTGGTGCTTTGTTTTGCTTCGGCTCTGGAGTAGGGCGAGGGCTCCCGCCAACCCCCCAGAGGCGTGGCTGGCGTCGCGCTCGGTTGGCCCACAGGCGGGGCGGCCATCGGAAAGCAGGGCTTCCCTTTCTTTTCCGTCACCGCCTCCGCTTCTCCCCGGCAGGCTGAAGGAGCCGCAGCCGCTGCCGCCGTCGCCCCCCCTCTGGCTGCAGCAGGTGAGGAAGGCACCGCGAGGGATGGAGTGAGGGGTGTGTGGCGAGGGGGCGCCCTCTCCTCGGCGGCTGGGCGCGGGCGGTGTGGGGTGGGGCGGGCGCTGTCTTCAGGGGACGAGGCCGGGGAAGAAGGAAGGCGGCCCGGCCCCCATTTCTGGCAGAAACCGCTCCGAAGCTGCCTGGTCGTCCTGCTTGGAGCGACGGGCGCGGCGC